CATTGGGATGAGTGTTTTGAGGAATTAATTTGCTCAAATTGTGTTGTGCTTTCGCATGCTGTACTGTGGATATTAGCATTGCGGAGTATGCATTAAACAGTTCCCGTCAATTATGCTTGGCTGTGAATGAATCTGAGGGTTCCTTTTGTTATAAATTACTATTTCCTAAAATGCTTTTGCAGAGAAGCAATGAAGCACTTCTAGATTTGGAATGTTTAAAGAGTTGTTCTTGCCAGTGCCTGATTTTGAGCCAGCTCCAATGCTCATAAGAAGTCATAACACAAGGCAAAGTCAGGGATGTCGGTTTGCTGCCTACCTTTCTTCTCACCCTGGAACGTCTCCCCTAGGTCCTGGAGCTTTTCTTACCCCAGCTGATTCATTCAGCATGGCAGGATGACAGGTACCTGGCCCACATCTGTTGAGAATCATCTGAAGTTTTTCATAAGGAGTTCCTTGGTACTGATGATACCACACTCCACTTAAGCATGTAATATTAATGTAAAAACCACTTCTACTTCTATAGTGGTGGGTAGGTCCCGGATTTCTTAGGTGGAGTCACATGAAAAGGTATCTTTTGTTGTTGTTGTTATATCTAAAGTGGAAAAAGGAAGGGGAACAGACGTTGTGTGTACCTAGAACTTGAAAGTAGAGAGAGAGGGCTGTGAAATATTTCCAAGCATATTGTGTGGCTTTGTAGAAGGTCCAGTGTACTTTATCATAGGCCCACCTTATCCATGACTGCCTTTTTTGATTTCAATGACCAGACATGGCCTGAAAATATTAAGTAGAAAATTTCAGCAATTCCCACATTTTTAATTGTTTGCTGTTCTGAGTAGCATGCTAGAAATCTCCCATCTGGGATGTAAATCATCCCTCTGCTCAGGGTATCCACACTCTATATGCTACCTACCCATTAGTTACTAAGTAGCCATTGTGGTTATCAGTTCCACTACTGTAGTATCGGATTACTTGTGTTCATGTCACCCATATTTTACTTAATAATGGCCCCAAAGCACAAGACTAGTAATGCTGCTCTTTGGATCAGCCAAAGAGTAGCCATTAAGTGCTTCCTTTAAGGGAAAGGGTGACTAAGAAAAGAAAATAAAAATAAATAAAAAGAAAAGAGGAAAACCCAAACTCCTCATGCTGAGGTTGCTAAAGCCTACGGTAAGGGTGGATCTTTTATCCTGATGTTCTGAAGATGGGGAAAGAGACACTTGCTAGTTCTGCTGCCACACTGCAAAGTGTAAATGCTATGGTCATGGCATATGGTAAGTGCTTAGGTGAGATTAAAAAAGCTATTAACTTTATGGGTGGAAAACATGAGCGGAAAATGTGTGCTTAGTTTATAAATTGAACTTTGTCCTAACTGTTCATGGATAGGAAAAAGCCATTATGTATCTGTCCAGTTCTCGCTGTGATTCTAGATATCCACTGAGGGTCTTGAACAGAATCCTACTGATAAGTGGGTGCTTCACTGTGGTTAATATCAAGCAGGGTGCTGTCCACTAGCTTGGCAAGAGCTCAGTGGTTATTCTGTTTTCTGTGGTGCTTAAGAGATGGGGTCTTTAGAGGCGACCCTGTAAGAGCTGAGATATTTTACACCATCCACTGGTTACTGTGAGGATTCGGCCAGTCAGAAGTCTGCAGGAGGTCGCTCTGGTTACCTTTGTCCTGTGTTTCCTTTGTTTCTTCCTTCTGCCCTTTATATGCTCATGCCCGGCCTTTGTGTTGCCATTTAAAAACAACTGGGATGGAAGGGCTAGAAATTATTCCAGCTGTCCATAGAAATCTGACTAGCGGATACACTTCTTGAAATTGCAACTGCCTGGTTTTTAAATGAATTTTCCTTTGCAAATTGGTAGAAGGCTGGGGCTGGAGAGATGGCTCAGCAGTTAAGAGCACTGGCTGCTCTTACAGAGGGACTCACATGGCAGCTAACAACCTTCCATAACTCCAGTTCCAGAGGAATCTGATGCCTTCTTCTGACCTCTGTGGGCATTGCATGACACTGGTACACTTACACACTTGCAGGCAATACATTCATACACACAAAATAAAAAGTAAATAAGTAAGATATTTAAAAAATTGATAGACAGCTGCTTATTGCCACTGACCTGATCTCAGTACCAACCTGCTTCTTAATACCACAACTAGCTTTATGGAGACAGGCACCATCATCTCCCTTTCCACCAGCTCTGGGGGCCAGGGGGTGGTGCTCTGCAGGTTTTGTCTTGATTTTCTTGTGGGCCCTTCTGAGTTGAGGGAGAGGGAGTCTCTGGGTGGGAGAGAAGCACCCAGGAGGAAACCAGAGGCAGGTCATCTCTAAGTGCTTGCTGTAGCTCTATTTGCCTTTGGGGGGTTAATTTAGAAAAGTGAAATGGACCGTGGAAAAACTGATGTGAGTTAATCAGCTCAAACTGGTCTTATGTATAGCCGGCATAGATCGGTTCTACGTAATCAGAAGCTATGAGTCATGAGGAGCATATTGTATAGTTTATTTTCACTTGGAAAGGAAAAGTGTGCTTAGCTCACATGTTCTACAGACAGTTGCATGCCTTCTGTTTCCTTAAGTTTCTTCAGCCACCTCCTGTGATTGCTGTGTGTGTGTACAGGATCCCGTGTACCTGTGTACGTGCACATGTGTATGCATGGGTGTGCAGGCCAGAGGTTGACCTCCAGTGTCTTCTTCAATCACTCTTCACCTTAGTTTTTGAGATAGGATCTCTTGCTGAACCTGCAACTGCCTATCTTGGCTAGAGTGGCTAGCAGGGAAACCCCACAGACTCACCTGTCCACCTCTCCAGCACGGGGCTTATGGGCATGTACCACCACACCAGACTTTTTTATGTGGGTGGGTGCTGAGAAAAGAACTCAGTCCCTCAGTGTTTTACAGCAAGCACTTTACTGACTGAACCATCTCCTCAGCCCGGTTGTTGCTTTATTTTTGAACATCCAAAGCTCTAGTCTTTTAGCCTCCTCCTGGAGATTCTTGATTATTTAGTAAGGAACCTTTGAAAATGAGGAGTGTCGAGACATGGGATTTATGCTCACAGACTCAGCCTGAGAAGAGCCATCCTCCTTAGCCTGGTGCTGGGAGAGAGCATAAATCTGCCAGCAGATGTCTCTCTAGCCCACTCCACAGGAACACTGGCACACTAGAAGCTGAGATGGAAGCTGGGTGACCTTGTGGTGCAGTGCCTAGCCTCCTAAGTTCCACAGAACTGACTCAGAGTATGTATATCTGCATCTTCTTTCACGGAGTGGTCCCCCCATTCCCCTTGGTTGGCCATATCCCTGCCAGAGTTCCCTGTGAAGGTCAGAGAAGGCCCACAGCATGCTCCCCACACGGGAAGGACCACGGCATGCTCCCCACACAAGACATTCACCATTTTGGGGTGCTGGCACAGACAGGCCTGCTGATCTCTTTCCCCAAAGTGACTTTTGAGTGCAGTTGTAATAATAGGGACAGGTGAGGGATGCCGCTTGACCCCGGGCTTCTCACTGAGCCCAGCCAAGCAGCAGAAGTAGTTCTGGTGCTGGTTAAGAGAACCTGACATTGAAGGGCTTCCCACATGCACAGTGGTCCACTTTCCAGGTTTCTTAATTAAGGCGTGTCCAACCCTTTGCCCGAGGCCTCATGTGGCTCAGGAGACCCAGGAATGACACCCAACACAAAACTGTAAATTTAGTTAAAACATTATGGGATTTGTGTGTGTGTGTGTGTGTGTGTGTGTGTGTGTGTGTGTGTGTGTGTGATTCTTTGGGGAATTTAATTGAACATTTCTTAAGTGTGAGACAATACCATTACAGGCTAGACATACCTATAAGACATTTCAGTAGAAGAGCCATCTGGTGAGCTCAGATTAGAAATATGTCTGGCAGGGGCTAGGGAGATAAATGAGTTGATAAAGTACTTGGCTTGCAAGCATGAGGACCTGGGTTGGATCCCCAGAACCTACATTTAAAAGGACAGACATGATGGTACAGACTGTCTGGAGCTCACTGGCCAGTCAGCTCAACCTACTTGGCAAGCTCCAGGCCAGCGAGAGACCTTATCTCAAAAAACAAAGTGAATGGCTTCTGTGCACATACACATATACATGAATGTGCACACACATGAATATACACATGGACACATGTACAAACATACACAGAAAGAAATATGTATGAGAAAGTGAGAGTAGAGGATGACTGTGCATCATAACTCTGAAGTAGATGTTGAAAACATTCCACAGTTGAATAGCCAAGACCTCAGGGAGAGAAACCAACTAGATTGCTGGCTAGCCTGGGCATGTACCCCATCAGGGTAGCTTGTCCTGGGCACAGAGATGTGGACAGTTCCTGTCCCTCCTTGTGTAGTTTCATATGATTATCCATGAAACCTCCTCAGGCTGTTCTCCGCGGCTATCTTCCTGCCTTAGCAGGCAGACAAAGAGTGGTACCTTTCTTCTACCTCAGCCATAACCTTGAACATACAGCCTTTGAAGAACAAGGTTGCTGTTCATAGGAAATATTGCTCATCTGTACCTCTGGTTTAGTTGAGTTGTCTGGCAATGATCTTAATGGATTTCAGAATTTTTCCAAGAAAAAAATCTGGCATCCAAATTTAAGAGCCAGTTAGTGGGCGAGTTGGCCTCTGAGGAAAACAAAAGAACATTTACTAGAGAACTAACAAGAACAAAATCCAACCCAGAGTGATTCATAGTCAACCAAGTGCCATCATCCCCAGCGGTAACAAGCTCTCACTCCTACAGGGCGGAGGTTGGGTTACTGGCTCTCTGATCACAAAATGCAGCTCTGATCTTGTTCCAAAGCAAATATAGCCATAAAGAGCTTTTATAGATTCCCTTCTTCTCCCCCAGAGTTCACACATACATGAAAAAGCACTGTATCTTGCTTTAAAATCATGCATTTTAGATGGTTTGATGGAAACAAGTTGTAAAACCTTTGTACCAGTCCTTCAATGAGTGTGGCACTTTGGGGTCGCTTCTCCACAGCTTTCAGAAGACGGTGATAAGAAACTGGAACTCCCCCAGGAGGGACTGCACCACCACCAGAGCAGGCAAAACAGCTCCTTCGAGGGCCCCAGGAAAAGCTCCTATTCCCTGATGATCCAAAACACTACGATCTGCAGCTCGGGGACTTACAGGTGCACCCTGCAGGAGCTCGGAGGGCAGAACTTCAGCAGCGGCACAGTGATTTTGAAAGTGACAGGTGAGCCTAACCAACCTACTCCTTTCTTCCTGAAGAAAGTGTGCCCTCTGCCAGTCCAAAAGTTCCTCCTCTCAGAGACTGACTCCACACCTTTGAACACGTCTGTGGCTGGAAGTGAATTCCTCTGCAGAGCATAATAACTTTTTCTCTATGTGCATTGACTTTCGCCCAACACTTGTTAGGGGCTAAGGTCAGAAATGACAAACGTGTTGTCTACAAGCCCCTGGTTTTGCACAATAGTTACTCTCTCATTATGCCACATATCTGAAAACAATCAGAACCAAGATCATAGTCCTCAACTCACAAGAACATAACTGCTATTTAAAGAGTGAATGTTTAATTTTGCTCATGGGGTACACACACACGTGTAAACACACACACACACACACACACACACACACCCCTTATACCCTTCTCAATCTCCAACTTCTACCCTGATTTGCTTGTCTCAATGACACATTTTACACTTGCCATGCAAGGTATGGGCTGCTTTAATATCCATCTCCCCTCCAAGGAGCAATAACCTTTATTTTCTTCTTGAACATCCTTGAACATCCTTGAACATCCTGAGGGAGCTGGTCCCTCCAGCCTACGCTACCAGCCTTATATAAGAACCTCAGTTACAGGGCTGATGTTGTAGCTCAGTTGGTTGATTGCTCAGCTACTGTGCTCATAACTCTGGGTTCATCCCCCAACATCAGTAAAAACCCAGGGCTGGTAGCGCATGCCGGTGATCCCAGCACTCAGGAAGTGAGGCAGGAGGATCCGGAAGTTCAAAATCATCTGGGTTATATAATGAGTTTCAGACCAACTTGGATCCTGTAGGAGACCTTGTCTCAAGAAAACAAACAAAAACAAAACAAAACAGCAGTTGGATTTTTTTTGGACAAAACCAGGCAGCTCCCCTTTCTCATTTTATAATCTGAGTCCCCTTAAGTTGAGGTCACCCAACAGTCCACCTGCCCACAAGAAGCCAAGGTGGTTTATGGCTGAACAAAAAAATACTTCATCTGATGTGAAGACCAAAGCCAGGAAAGTTGAGTGGGAGGCACCCCTCTGAGCAACGGCATCTGTAAAGTAGCTAGAAGCAGACCTGCCCTGGATGCTCAGGAGACGCTCTGCAAACATCTCTAGCGTCCCATGGCATATTTCCAGTGCAGTGTGACAGAAAAGTACTTACACTGTTGTCACTGCCATGGAGACTGGCCTTTCCTGATGTACACATGTGAGGGTGGGGACGGGACGCACTAGGACTGGAAGAAGCAGGAACAGAGCAGGGTGGAAAACTCCTTAAATGTCTCCCTACGTGACTTTTTTTTTTTTTTCCTTTGTTTTTTTTTTTAGGATGCCCTAAGGAACCTAAGGTACCAACTTTCCAGAAGTACAGAGCTGAGATTGTGCTGCTCTTTTCTCTGGTCGTTTTCTACTTAACACTTATCATTTTCACTTGTGTAAGTATCTGTTTAAAACATCGATTGCTGTGAACTAGTCCCTGAGGGCCCACCAATCCAATAAGTTTTTTAGACAGAGTGAATTGTTGAATAGTGTGGACAGTAGTTATCTTCTGGATGCTGAGCTTTTGAAACCCCCCAAACTGGGAAGCTGGTGAGGACTCCTCTTGCTTTTGGCCTAGTGAGTCACCTGGAATATTGTGTGAAGTCCATGAGATGAAGCAGATGGGGAAGTGGGAGTCTGAGAAAGCCCAAAGAATCCCATGAAGACCTGGAGGCCTTGTTGTCACAGTGGAGAGTCACCATGTCACCATCCAACATCCTGGAGCAGAGGCCTCAGTCTTCCAGTTCTGTATCCAGTTCCCTCTACCCTGCCGTAGTACTGTATCCTCTTAGAGGCTCTCTACTTAGAATTTTTTTTTTTTTTTTTTTTTTTGTCTTTTTGAGACAGGGTCTCCCTGTAGCCCCAGCTGTCTTGGAACTCACTATGTAGACCAGGCTGGCCTTGAACTCAGAGATCCGCCTGCCTCTGCCTCCTGAGTGCTGGGATTAAAGGCGTCACCACACCCAGCTCTACTTAGACTTTTTATACTTCCATTCCTTTTTAAGAATTGATCCCAAGAAGTCAGAACAGTGGAACACCTGAGAGTCCCCTGGGGTGGGGGGTGGCTGTTGGTGCTTGGACATTCTAGACATACCCTTGAACCAAGACTCCAACTTGAAACCTCCAAACCCCTTTCTGAGTAGCTGAACCCGGACTGACCATGGCCCTCAGGGAGTGGGGCCATCCATGGCCCTGACCAACTGGGAAGCAGTCTCAGGTATACCAGAAAGGCTGGCCATGTAGGGATCAGGACAGAGTTCCCTGTGGAGCCATGGAAAGCCTGGCTTCTGTCACCCACCATGTCCCCCGTATTCAGTCATCTGCCTCTCTGGCTGTGCGAATCATCTCTGACTTCTGTCTTAGAAATTAATCAGCAAATATCACACTGTATTTCATAAATGTGAATAATTATTATATGTGACTCAAAAAACTTTTTAACCACCAGTTTATTAAAAATAAAACACCAGGGCAAGATGAAATAGTGGCCTTTCATAATCTGACAAATTTATTTTTTTAAAGTTTATTTCCATCATACCCATGATTTTGTTCTGAATCACTGAATAATGTGCCAAGATTTTTCTGGATACTATCAATTTCTCAGAGAATGATTACAGTAACTAATATGAAGAAGATTCTTAAAGTTAATTTTTTGGTGGTATTGCTGATCATCAAATCAAAGGTCTTATACCTGCTAAGCAAGTGCTGTAAATAAAGTAAGAGCTTTATTTAAAAGATTTAAAAATGAGGCTGGAGAGATGGCTCAGTGGTTAAGAGCACTGAATGCTCTTGCAGAGGACCTGGGTTCGATTCCCAGCGTCTACATGGCAGCTACAAACCGTCCTTAACTCCAGTTCCAGGGGAATCCAATGCCATCTTCTGACCTCTGCAGCATTGCATGACATGGGTGCACTCATACATGCAGGCAATATACTCATACACATAAAATAAAAATAATAAATAAATATTTACAAAAAGATTTTAAAATATAAAAGTCAAATGTATACAAACAAAACCAAAAACTCCTGTGAGTACCTATTTTATACAAAGCATTCTACCAGGCACTGCATGGGATGAAAAGAGGTATTGAGATGTGTTCCTGACCTCGTGGAGCTTGTGGTCTAGTTGTCAGGCTTATTTGCTCATAAGAAGATAACTAGGATGATCAGATGATGAATAAAAAATGGATGCCTTCAGTTTCTTGTTAGTAAACGCCCGCTTCTGTGGGCACTGGCTTTCCATGTTCTGTGATAGCAGCAGCTGAGAACTGCTACAGTCTAGAAGCAGTGAGTTTCCTGACTGAAGTTTGGAGGCATCAGGGAAATGGTACAGACACCTTGCAAAGCCAGTGAGGGATGGAGTATTGCAAAGCCTTCCACAATCAGCTGTCCAGCCAGTCTCAAGGCATGGCTTTTCAATAGTGGTGACAAATGCCACATCTTCCCGATGACACTTCTCAACATGTCTTTTCACTTTGCTTTTTACAGAAGTTTGCACGATTACAGAGTATTTTTCCAGATTTTTCTAAACCTGGCATGGAACAAGCTTTTCTTCCAGTATCCTCCCCAGGCAAGCATTTGGGGCCAGTGACCCCTCCCAAGACAGAAACAGTATGAACAGGATCTCTGTTGGTTTCTACAAAGCTGAAGGCACAATGGTGTGCCTGAACAAGAGAAGAACAAGCCTCGCCCTTGGGTGGCATCCTTCCCGTGAAGTCCTTCACCTGACAGTGGGTCCCACCCCACTCTCTGCCAGCAGGGTCTTGAGCGCCATCCCATGATCACGAAGCATGAGGCCATTGCTGCTTCTTCATGGCTGCCGTCTTAGTGTTTCATGTGGCTATCTGGTCAACCTCTTGGATGCTGTTTGAGTATAGAAAAGCTGTGGTGAGAATCAGGTGGAACGGGGTCATGGGAAATTTGAACACCCTGAGCTGGCCCAGTGACAGACTCCTGAGGACAGCTGTCCTCCTCGACATCTGGGAAACATCTCCTTGAATTTGCCCTGTTTTGTTGCACTGACCCAGATGTCTCACATCTGTGAGAAATTGACAGACCAAGCTGTGAGCCAGTGGGAAATATTTAGCAAATAATTTCCCAGTGTGAAGGTCCTGCTATTAGTAAGGAGTATTATGTGTACATAGAAATAAGAGGTTGGTGAACTGTTCCCCAGCAGGGTGTTTTCTTCTGGGAAAGTCATCTATAAAGGAGCAATACCAGAGAATTCCACTTTTATTATTTTTATCTACATATACTTGTTGAATAAGAGTTTTCATGTTTTTCAAAGTATTTTTCTTCTTCCTCTTCTCCCCCTCCCCTTCCCTTCCCCCTCTTTCTCTTCCTCTTCCTCCTTCCCTTAAATCTGTGTCTACCTGACAAGCAACCTGCATGAATCTGGAGAGCAGGAAGAACTCAGGGAAAGACCAGCAGGCTACAGCGCTGTACAGCGCCCTGCTGCAAAGGGCGGGCCAATCATGCTGTCTGGAATCTGTATGAGACTGAACAACTCCCTTGGGGTTTCACTTTCCCAGTTGTAAACCAGAGTGAAGATGTTTTAGAAAAGTCAAAGGTGTTATACACATTAGCAATCCTACTGGGTCATAGCCTTGCTGTTAGTTATGATGGGGCTCTGGAGCCCAGAGGATGTGTGCCTCCCCTTTTCTGTCACTCCAAAGGGGACAGTCTTCTGTGTGAACTCCTCTGGGGAGCTGTCTTGAAGGACCAATCGCAAGTTCTCAAAGATCTGGACATGGGAGGAGGGCATTCTCAGATGTACTAATGGGATGCTGTTACATTTCTCAGATGTACTAATGGGACACTGTTGTTACATTTCTCAGATGTACTAATGGGACATGGTTACATTTCTTTAATGAGCTTGGCCCCTTTCTCATTTGCTTCCCAAAGAAATTTTGTCCCTTTCAATGGTGTGTGCATCACCCACACTAATATTAGAAAGTGAAAGAGACACTGAGTGGATTCAGTGCTTGTCTCTTAGTCACCACTTTCTTGCTATTAAAGGTATGCACGTGGAGTGTTTTTCCTTTTTGTCTTTAAAATGACTCAGACTTTGGCCTGAGTACTTGGGTGTCCATAAACTGGTTGGAGAATCCAAATGTCGGATGCGTTGGCTAGGGGAGATCTGTGAGATGGCATTCTGGGTTCCAAAGTCTACCAGATCCATTCTGGAGCTGTGTCACTGCCAGCTAGTACGTCGTGGTCAGCTTGCCCACTTACATGGTCACAGGAGGAAGGATGTAAAGAGAGAAAGTTTCTGCCTCCAAATGATGTGTCAAGACAGGAGCTCTGATCCTGGGTTTCATGGGGTTTGACTCAGACTTTCAAATAGGCCCCCCAGCCCCCAAACTGTTACAAGCAATCTATACAAGAGCTTGTGATAGTTATCAAAGCATCATGGGTGAAGGGCTTTTTATGAAGATGAATGCCCACTAAATGTCTATGAAAGCTGTAGAATCCCCTTTGATAGAATCAACTCCATTGCCAAAGGTTTTTCCCAAAGTCCCAGACTATTTGACGTGGTGATGAAGGACTCTGACCTCTTATCCATCTGAGGCTGTACTACCTCAGTCAGGAGATAATGTAGCGTAAGAACGGTATTTGCCTAATAGATACACTGCGAAGTCTGAGTGAGAGAAGATGTGTAAGTGCCGGGCCTGGTGTCCAGCAATGTTCCACTGCCAGGAGAACAAGATGGGAGGAGGAGCAGTAGAAGAGACTTCAGTGCCCAGACAGCTTTGACAAGCTGACTTCCTTAGAAGGAGTAAATTGACTTGATGGGTGGAGCATATTGCCTTTTGAGGATGGGTAACGGTGAAGTAAATATTGTGTGGCCAGTGTAAGAGAAGCCAGGGAGGAGGGATGTCCCTGCCAGTTTAGACTTCACTAGAAGGGATCGAAATTTGGTTGCAGGCTCACTCAAAGTTTCTCGTCTAGTATGTAGTATGAGAGAGAGAGAGAGAGAGAGGAGAGAGGAGAAGAGGGGGTGAGGGAAAAGAGGGAGAGAAGTTAGAAAGAAAACGAACAAGAAAAGAGAGGGAGTGGGGAACAAGAGAAAGAAGGAGGGAGGGAGGGAGGAAAGGGGGAAGAGATGGGGAGAGAAGATGGAGAGGGAGAGACACAGGGAAAGGGAGCAAGAAAGGAGGGGGAAGAGGATGAGAGATGAGAGGGAGGGAGAGGGAGGAGAGAAGAAAGGGAGGACACAATTTGTGAAGGAGAGTGAGCACATTGGCTTTCTGCTGCCTCAGTTGAGTTCTTCACACTGTCTCAGATGACTTGGACCACATTTACTTTGCCTTCACTGCTGGGGAATCTTATGTTCTGAGGTTCTCCCTGTCCCTGGAATTAGAGCTACAGTTGTAATAATTTTGCCTTGAGATGTCTCAGGATACAAATACAGACACATGTATCAGCTTCACGTTCTTTCAAAAGAAAATCTGCATGTTTTTTAAAAATTCATAATAACGCCCAGCAGGCTTCATCATAGCAGAGCCTGTGTCTCACTCCTGGAATCCAGAAGTACTTGATTATTGGCCAGGATTGTAGCCCACGGGCTCTGGCAGCAGAACAGGGCCCTCGGCTTCACTTGGTTGCACTGACTTAGACAAGTAGTTCACACTGTACATTTCTTTTGTAAAGATAGTACTCAGGGCCAGGACCTGGAGCTGTGTGTTTTCTTCACCAAAAACCATTCCTGGTAGTTTGATGATTACTTGCAGAGCCAGTCTTGATCTAATGGGATGGAGAGATGCAGCCCATGAGAGTCTGCCATTGAGTTTACCATCACCTCAACTAGATGTGCTAATTTTGGAATTTTCACCTTTAAATTATATAAGAAATTCTAAATTCTACCTCCTACCTTTCTGTGCTGGTGTGTGTGTGTGTGTGTGTGTGTGTGTGTGTGTGTGTGTGTGTGTGTGTGTGTGTTTAAACCTAAGTATGTTGACTGGGTGTTTAATCTGGACAATAATATTGCAGATACTCTGAAAGATTAAAAAACAACAATTTCAATCCCTTCCTTCTTTCCCTTATGTCAAAGAGTTCACATTCTAGTGGAAGGAAAAATGAGCATAGTAATATATACCAGTAACTTTTATGGAAGTATGTGAACAATATCAGGAACACTCATAATAAGTGTGTGAATGTCCAGATTCCTCTGGGAACCCTTCAGAAGGGTATTAGTTACTTTTCTCATTGCTGTGACAAAGTATCTGGCATAAGGAATTTAAGGGAAGAAGGATTTCTTTTGGCTCAAGGCTTGAGAGGAAATACAGAATCATGGCTGAACGTGGGGGTGAGAGGCATGGTGGCAGGAGCTGCTGGATCACGTCTGGGCAGGTCAGGAAGCAGGGAGGAAGCCTGGCACTCAGCTTTCTTTTTCCTTTTTTATTCAGAGGAGGATCCTAGTCCTTGGGACGGTGCAGCCCACCTACAGGGTGGGTCTCTTCTCAGTTAAACTTCCCCAGCAGTGCCTTCACAGACCCACCTAGACGAGTGTCTCCTAGGTGATTCCAAATCCAGTGACAGTGACCACGAAGATTAGCCATCTCAGAAAGCTTTGCAGAACTACACGTGAACAGATTTTAAAGCTCAGTAGAGTTTTGAGTGAAATGATGGGCAAGGATAATGGGAACAGAAAGGGAGCAAGTCTTTAAGAAAGTAAAATGTAGGCTTGGCCCAAGGGTTCTTTAAGCATACAGAGGCACAGCACCCCTCAGCTGAGGTGCAGTCAGGAGGAAGCAGAGTGTGAAAGCCAGGTGCATTGTCTTGAACAACTGGAACCATGAGGCAGCATCCACAGGTCCTATGCTGGTGCACTATGTGGTTGTATCCAATTTTGGGACAGTAATCAGGAAAACAAAATGAAGGACTAAGCAATACAGCTTCGGAAGAGGGGGGAACATGAAGACCACACCGGAGACTGAAAGCCCAGAGCAGTACAGCAAAAATGGGAGGAAGACACCAGAGAAATAGAGGCCAGCTGGCTTGTGATTGTTGAAACAGTCTTCAGATTTTAGTCCTCTTTATTTTTTAATTTTTTTAATCTATCTATCCATCCATCTATCTATTTATCATCTATCATCTACCGATCATGTGTGTGTGTGTGTGTGTGTGTGTGTGTGTGTGTGTGTGTGTGCTTATGCCATAACATGCATGTGGAGATCAGAAAGACAACTTGCAGGAGAGTTCTTTCCTTCTACTGAGTAGGTCCCAGGCATTGAACTCAGGCCATCAGGCTAGTTCCCTGGCACCAAACCTGAGTTTCCGTATGTTTCAGGTGGGGTGTGTGTGGGTGTGTGTGTGTGTGTAATTAAGGCCCTCCCTTTTCCTTTTAAAAAGTAACAGACTGGAAAGAAGGAGCCAATGCCTTAGATCTTTACTGCTATACAACAGGCTGAACATAATCATCTGAGACCACAGAACACGTCCCCGTGTTTCTCAGCTGTCACTGCAGCTAATAAGACTATTCTTGCTTTGGTGTTTCAAGCTTGCTTTAGTCTTTACTCCAACATGGCCTTCCTGTCCTAGTGGACCACTTCTGGTATCCATTTTCCTTGCATAACTTGGTGTTGTATTTGACTAGCTCTCTTAGGGAACATGGTCTATGTGTCATCTCCGTTGGGCTTTGTGTGTGTATGTTTTAATCATATAGCTAACACCACATTCTTTCCTTGGTTCTGCCCAAGTGATTGTATGTTATACAATTCCTCCTTAAGGATATTTAAAAAATAGCAAAAACCTAGCAAACCCCTGTAACAAAGTGTGATGGCAAGTCAGGAGACGCCTTCCAGGCTACATGATGTGTTTGTGTGGGTCATGAGGGATGTGTATGGCTGCAGGACAGAATAAGGAACAGGAAACCACATGGCAACGCTCATTGCGCCAGTGGTAAATCACACACAGCCCACACTGTCCTTCAGAGCCAAGACATTTCATGTGCACACATACCTCTTTTCTACTTTATTTCATTCTCCCCGTGGGATTCCAGGCAGCACACAGTTAGGTAACAAACCTGTATCAGGAAAACATCTTATAGGCCAGGTGTATTTGTTTCCATGGTACTGAGAAGTTAGAGTGAGGGAAGGAGGCAAAACTCGGGTACTAAAAGCAAATCTATTCTTTTCTTCTTTCAATGGATAAACACACACAGTGTCCCTCTGGGCAGAGGAGCCAGACCTCACTTACTGGTTCGTTTAAATTCTGCATGAGAAAAAGACATTGTTTTTGCTTCATCATAAGAGGGACTGTTTCTTCCAATTGACCATTTTCCCCCTCGCTCTTTGCCAAAGTAGCCTGTTTACAATCTACTCTTGCAGATTACAATATTTAGTAGAGACAAGTAGAGAGAAATTCCGACATTGAAAAACCTTGAGACATTCCACAGAGTTGGAATGCTTTTCTCAAAGAGGGGAAAAAAAATCTTCAAATGTGTATGTGCTTGCCCAAGTCCCCCCCTCAAAAAAAAGCCAGCTGGACAGCCTATAAACAACACCCATTCGGGAATAACAAAAGCCCATGTCAGAAGTCAAGGGACAGGAGGCTGAGAACTAATAATGATTTTACACTTACACAGCAGTTTTCATCTGAAGACCTCAGAGTGCTTTATAAACATTAATTAAATTGCCCCACGGCCCTGCTTGATGGCTACGTATCACTGTTTCCAATTGGCAGGCGGTGATGGGAGGAAAAGGGGAGGCACAGAATTAAGGTGGAAACTGGCCATGTTACCATGCCTGTGGATTGTGGGCTCAGAAGGAGCCAGAACATTTGCCTGTGAGGACAAGGCCATGGTCAGGTATATTGGTTACCACTGGGTCAAGGAGATGGTCTGGTGGCTTTCCAGCAGAAGCCAGCTTATGCATAATTGGGAAGACCACCTGCACTAGAATAAGGGGCTGCTGTGGTCTTCCTGAAAGCCCATCACCATGTGCCAAGGGACCATGACAGCAAACACAGTGACTTTGCCTAGGAAGATGTGTGACCTCGTTACTTTATATTGCTGTGATAAAACACTGACCAAA